CACCCCCACCCCGTCTACGGCGGGCCCCCGCACCCTCATTCCGCCCCCGTCCACCACCACCACCAGCAGCACCATAACCCCCAGGCTGTCCAGGTCTGCTCCGGCTGCAACTCCAAGATCGTTGACCGCTGGTTCCTCAGGTAACGCATTTTTAACCCATTCCCAGTTCACTCCCGTATGAACCTTCAGGCCTTGCCAAACTTCCTCCGGCTAATCACTAATTTTCAGGAAAATTATTGAATATTTTTCTGCCAATAGACCGTATTCGATAATGGTTCGATGTATCGTTTGGTTCAAAACAATGGAACATAACTTCAAACCAAACCGTTAGGATTTAAGTTGGAAAAGCTGAAAATGAGAAAATTCCTTACAATTTCACTTTGCATTCGCATTTGGTACTCAAAAGAATAAAACATCTGTTACAAAAGACCCGTTCCCTTCGATTTCTAAATTGACTTTTGAGGCTATGTTTATGTTTTGAACCAATCGATATCGATACAATCTCACCTGTTTGATGTATCGAATACGATCTGTTTCTCAGATAATTTTGTCTGTAATTTGATCCAAAGTGTCGGAAAATTTCAAGAAAAAATATTCACAACTTTCTTCAAAAATAACTATTCTCTGTGAGGAAATTTGGCAACTCTCGAATGTTCATACCGCGTTCTTCTTTAGCACGGCACAATGGGTCACTAAACCTTGCGTTTTTTATTTAATATTTTAAAAGTACCAGGTGCATAGATTACGTGGTGATTTATTCTGTGTGTTCGGAATCAAAATCCTAGACAAGGCCGCTGTTAAATAGTCCAAAAACTCGACGGGGCTTAAAATGCGCCGGAACGGCAGGAAAATAATGGAAGTGATGTATTACGGCGGTCAAATTGCTATCCCCTCTCATTTTCCACTGATTGTTGTTGAAATAAAAAGTATTTCAATGTGGAACTGTTGCTTTTTAACTACGGATAACACGAATGAAACATGGTTCTTTGATTCTGAAGTCGTACTTTCGAATATTTCATATACGAGGAGAAGAAAGATATTTTGCAGAAGTCGTAAAAACTCATGCTCGCTTCTGATTGGTGCTGGATGACATCACTCAGCTCAGCGCGAAACCGCGGCATTTTTTTGCGGGAAAGTTGTGCCTTTAGCTCTGCGTATTTCTTGGTCTCTGCGTTACTTTGTACTCGTTTTTGTGAGCGCATAATTTTCTACACTACATTTACTTTTGGAAAAATGTATTCGCAAGTCAAAAATTTGTTCATGGTTTAGTGACCCATTGTAACGGCGAGGATGAAAATACACCAATTCATAACTTCAAAATGCTTGATTTTTATTGAACCTCTGTGATGCACTATATCTTATTTTCTTTTTAACTCGTAGGTACTACTAGTCAAGCCAGATTCCGTCACTTACACAAGTCGAACAGCCTGTGAAATGAACAGGGCATGAATGTTTGAGATCACGCTTTTCATAATATTTAGCTCTCATTTTTACATTGAGCGTTAAAACCTTCCATCTCTAAAGTTGTGACTGATACGCTGATATCCAATCCAAAAATATTATTTCATTAGAGATGGCAATAAATTAATTTGGTCCAAGGTCTTAATAATAAACAATGAAAAACTGGTGGTTTTGTCGAAAGCCCTTCTGTATTTCTCCTTTTCATGCCCGTTAAAATTAATGGTTAATCAACTAATGAACGTTCTTTTTTTTATTTTTTTTGCTGATTAGGTGTCTAGAACGGAACTGGCACAATAACTGCCTCAAATGCACGGCCTGTGGGGCCACTTTAGCCGATATAGGAGCCACGTGTTTCACAAAACCGGGCATGATTCTCTGTAAAAATGATTATGTCAGGTAAGCTGTCTTCTCTTTTATCAGTATTATTTTTGTCACTTTAATGATTTTTTTTTTTTTTTTTGGCTTGCCTCTTGAAATTCGATCTTGGTTTATAACTTGAAAGACGTGACAAAGTCAGGTCTGTGGAGAATCAAAGGTTTGTGGGGAATAAAATCCCATGAAATACAATTTAAGTACAATAAATTACGTATCTTTTTAGGGGTGAGGGGTGCTCGAGGAGAGATATACCAACATTTTTCGGGAGTTTTATTGTAAATTACAAAACGTTCGATCAATCGTGCCAAACTACTGTTTTTTTTTTCTTTTTTTCTTAACGTAAACGCTTTGCTTCCTCCATGTCCGTGACCCTCAAGACGAGACGATCGGCGGAAGGGAGGAGGAATACAGATAACAAGTGAAGAAAGGCACGAACTGAACAACCACGAGACAGAAAAAAAGAGGGTGGTGGGACGGGGGGTTGGCGCGAGCCTCGGTACTCTGCATCGTTGCCAGATTGTGCTGAATAACCACCCTTTTCTCCATCTTAAACCATGAAAAATATTCAAATTTCATCATGCCACATGGCAACCTTGGTGCGCTGGAAACCCGCGTGGATCAAAATTGGTATAGGAAAGGCAAAGTGAAGGTACAACGGAAGAGGGGGGGGGGGGGTGCTCTCACTGCAAGCGATTTTGATTGTGATTGTAATGGTAAATAAATACTCGTTAGGGGCTCTCACAATTCCACAATTCTTTTATCCCATCATTACTATCGGGCCTATATTCCCGTCGGAGCTATGCTCATAACGTACCCCGAGCCGTCTCCTCTATCCGTGACAGCGTCGTTAGGAACTCCAGCGCGGGTATCATAGAGGGAACGCTTTAAAAACGCTCCAAGAGACGTCGGAGAGTTCCCTTAGTAACCGGAAGATTTTTAGGCTGATTTGAAAGAATCGAGATCCTTTAAAAGTTTTGTTCCGATCGATAACTGCCTATTTCGGAATGCATGTAAATGTAATTTTGCCGCGGAATAGTTTTTATGTTCACATTCATCGTGTTTATTTTTTTTCGGAAAGTGCAGCTTTCATGTCAGTCTTGAAAAAAAAGTTCATAATTTTTTCAAAATTGCTTTACCACCCGTGTAGGGCTTCACGTTTACCTTAATACTAGGATCTCGAGGTCAGGCATTTTCTTCACCCCTGTCGTGAAGAATGTCATCTTTGGGGGAAAAATAGGGTTTGTCTTTCTTTTTCGAGGTTGTCAGGACCACATCCACGTCATTCTAAGCACGTCTCTTACCAGGGCCGGATTCACCTACTTGCCGCCCATGGGCCGCCTGTATTTTGCCGCCTCCTTCTCATTCGTTTTGAAACTCGATAAAAACCATCAAGTGAACGTACCAGCGGGGGAGGGGTGCGTAAGACGCATTTACTCGTGTTGAACACATTTTTTGGGGAAGCCCTGTCAACACTACTAGCAAGAGTTCACGGAACTTTGCGCGAAAGTTAAGTTTCGTAAGCCTATCTCTGTGTGGACAAGGCCTTCCATGCTTGGCGCAAAGCGTGAAGTATTCAGACAGTCTTGTAGGCGCTATGCGTTTCCCGCCGCGCCGACCGCTGCTGAACGCACTGTGTTGGACGCAATGCGTGAAGTATTCACGCAGTCTTGTGGGCGCTATCCGTTTCTCGCTGACCGCAATGACCGCACTGTGTTTATTGATGCAATGCGAGAAGTATTCGTGCAGTCTTGTAGGCGCTAATATGTGTTACATGCCGATCGCCGCGCCGAGGGCTTCTCCTTTTCATTTCAAGTCCTCGTTATCATTTCTCTCTAAGTCGCGCCGTTCCAGGCCAAATTGCGTGTTTGGTTTCTCTCGTAACTCGACTAATTGAAGGTACTGTCTCTTGTATCACTAAGAGACGATAAAATTAGAATTTACTATACTCTCAGTAAATGAGAGATTTAGTTGCCTTTTCTCGTTTGTAATTTTTCTTTGTCTAAATCCGATTTTTTTTTTATAGCTACACTTAAAGAAATTGCAAATTTTTGCCGCCCCTTAGATTTGCCGCCATGCCCCATTGCCCCCCCCTCCCTTTAATCCGGCCCTGTCTCTTACTAGCAGTCAGACTGATGGCGTGAGAGGGGTTACATGATCTTGGCGAACAGAAGTGAATCGGTCCTCAAACCGAAGGAACTGAATTTAGTCTGTATCGCTTAGGTGCACCAGTGGGCTGATCATTGAAATTGATAGACAAAGCGATAGGCAAGGGAGACACGAGGAGTGAGGAGCGATCCTATTGGTTGAGATAGATGGTTCCCATGGACTAAGGCAGAAAAAGATGGAGTAACTGTGGAGTCTCTCGTGGGTTGCCGATAGTTTGTCTATTACCTACCTCCTTTGTCCATTGTGCCTCCACCATAGGAACCCTCCATATTCCTCTTGTCATAGACTTTTGTCGATAGTTTGTCTATCAATTTTAATTATCGGCCCGCAGATAAGAGACCCGACACCGCTCGAGTCGTCTCAGTGCCTCCGATTGGCTGGCAGTGCCGCTCGACTCACCTTGGGGGGGGGGGGGGGGATCATCTGCCGACCAAATTCGGCCCGAGGCCTATTCGAGCGGGGCAACGCGGGCTAGCGCTCAATCAAACTCTCATAGAAGCCGTCACTCGAAAAAAGGAGCGAAACGAGAGAAAAAAGGCCCAATTTGTGTAAAGGAAGTGGTGAATGTAATCAAGCGTCGGCTAAGAATTTCCCGGGATGTGGGTAGTTGTGGCGGCGCGGACGGGGGAGAGGGAGGGGCATCCAATCACCAATCAGTTGGCCCACCCTCCGTCTCAGCTGAGCTCCTCACAAGGATGCTGCGTTGCCGTCGCCACTTCAAAAAAAAATCTCGGTGTATTTACTAAGAAAAGGGTAAAATTACCAAGAATTCAGGGTTCTATTTGATCCCAGTTTTTTACCAGTATTACCATTTATGGAATTGGCAATTTTACCGAGACATCTCGGTAAAATTATTGAACTTTCTTGGTAATTTTACTGGACCTTGGTAAAAACGTCAATAATTTTTATCGACTGTGGTAGAATCACCGAGATAAAATGGCAAAGTTACCGGGAATTGATTACAAATAAAAGTGGTATTCTTACCTGAAAAAACAGTAAAAATACCGGTTTTAAGGAAAGCTTACCAGCCTGTTGTAGTAACATTACCAATAATTTGTAAAAAAGTGAGATGGTAAAAGTACCAACGGACCTTGGTAAAAACACCAAGAATTTTTTTTCAGTGTGGATGTCGCTCAGAGGGAAGCTACATAAATTCGTCAGATTCCCCCATTTTTGTAGGATGTTTTTGCAGTCCGACCAGGCAGAAGAATGGTCGAAGCATCCACCTTGCTCGGTAGTGCATATTAATTCTCATGATTCGTATGTTACATCGAGTGAATCACACTCCGTAAAAAATCCGTGAAATCGTCGGTTAAAAATACCCGATATTCTCATGGTAAAGATTGAATTTCGAGGGAAAATTGGGCATCACTGAAATGTAGTTACGTTCTAGGGAAACTACACGGTTTGTCCAGTAAAACGAATCGGTTTCATTGCCAACTCATCATTTCGTGGAAATTAATGTCCGGATCGACTTACGTATGTACTTTTGCTGTACTGATTTCTGTTCGGGATCCAGATTAATCTCCCCCCCCCCCCCCCCCCCCCCNCAAACCATGTCTTGTGGCGTGGCGTGGCGTCGGTAGGTGGCGAAATGATTCGGGGAGGATACCCGCGACGGGGGCGGCTCAGTTCTGGTAGAAAGATAGTAATTGTTGTCGGTGATGGAAGTTCGCTGTTCTTTCGTCTTTAGTGCCCGTCTATCTGATAACTTCTCCTGAAGCTGACACGCAACGCTAAATTTTGATAAACGTAGGTAAAGTGCGTGTTGCCGGCACCGGGTGCTCCGCAACGTCGTCACAGCCCTCGCTCGCGCTTCCAACTTGACGCACAGTGGATCGAGTCGATAGGAGAGGTCGGACATAATTTGGAATATTTAAACACTTGTAACTCCGTTTATATAAAACCTTAAGGTTCAATAAATGGACCGCGTTAAACAGAAAGGAACCAAGCCACATCAGCTATTGCCAAATTTAACAGGGGAATTTGATTTTTTACGAGAGAACGTTTGTGCGGATTCCTTTGAAAATGTTAAGGAATTTGCTTTGTATTATGGAGAAAATTCATAGAAATTTGCACAAAAATCCGCACAACCGTTTTCATGTAAAAAAATAAATTGCCCGATTAAATTTGGCAATGGCTGATGTGGCTTGGTTCCTTTCTGTTTAACGCGGTCCAAATGGCTCCGTTGGTTTTCTCGTGAAATTTTCTTCCAGAACGACCCCTTGAAATTTCGAATACGACGAAATAAACATCAAAATTGGAGTTTTAGCCGAAAATTCCATGTCCGACCTCTCTAATTGACTCGATCCATTGTGCGACGCGACCCCTTTATTTCGACTTAGTAAGTCCGCACCCACATCTCTCGGTTTGAGACGCTGAAGACTTCCTGACATACTTTCTATTTTAAATGGAAAACTATTTCACGGCAATTCTTAAAAACTTCCGTGATTTTTCTTCACTGCTCGATGTAAATTCTTCGAAAACTTCAAAGAATGATGTCTATTTGTTCGCCTTTAAAAAAATAATAAATGAACGGAGAGGAGATTTTCAAACACCGCAATCGAGATACGTGGGTGCGGGCTTACATCGCAGTTATTAAGTCGCACCCGAGAAAAATAGCAAAAAGATATGGAAATCATTTGGTAATGTGTCGGGCGTGGAAGAGACGGAGTGAAATGATTACTTATGTTTCTGCATTCCGTATTCTGTTTTTCATGAAACGTTTTGCGTCGACTGAACTGATATTTGTAAAAAATTTTATGTGCTAATCCTCAAAAGCACTAAAAAAATGGTATCTCGAAATGAAAGCAATTGAGATCCTCTTTTACCAATCCGTCATCAGCTGTGATTTT